AGAGAGAGAACTGCAGAGCCAGAAAGTGGGGACGGGGGTGGTGGGTTGCGTATCCAAAACCCAGGAATACAGGTGCATGAACAAATCTGGGTTATTTCTAAAGTAACTTTGCAAAAGCATTCATCGCAGTTAGTAACGAGCCACAACTCGACTGCTGGTATAGACGTATAGGCCTAATTCATTCTTGAGGTGCCCCTTTAATCTGTAATTCCCCGCCTAGTGTGCTGTGAACGTAGAAACTAGCCTCCTAAATGATCTAAATTGTGTCGATTGTGACATAAAAACACTTCCATCAAAAATTTGAGAAGCTGTGAAAAAATATATTTAAATTACTGCCTTCGGCTTACTACTAGTTTTATGGTATTTTTCTACATTGCGACATTTGATCTCGCCTAAGTACTTCTGACGCGCTGCTTTGGGGGGTCAAACTGCATCTTGTTTGCTGCAGATCACACATATGGTCACTAAAACTGTCGCAAATCAATTACGTTCAAGAAAATTTCAAACCTAACTGCAAAATATTAAATTATGGATTAGAACAGGGGGCGCCCCCTGTAACCCCCCCCCCCATTTTTTTAACTTGGTCCAGAGGAACAAAGCATTTTGATTGGACTATCTGAGTCGGAGACGTTTCCTGATAGATACTAACTGTGACTTCTGACCAGCATGTGTGGTGCAGCGGTTGGCAGCTTCTCCGTCGCACGCAGGAGTTCAATTTCCGAGGAGGGAGATTTTTCTAAAAATGAAGTATCTCGGTTCTTTTGTTTTAATATTGCTTCCCTCTCAGCTAGGGTTGGCCCTAACAGGCAGAGTCGGAAGCTCGTCTTCTAAATTATCGAAATTGTTTCGATGGGAGGCGTAAATACACCTACACCATATTTTTCAAAACGTGTTAATAAAGCACTGACACCTGTAGTAGATTTTAACAACATCAACAGTAATACTTGACGACTTATTGGTAGATAAAGACAAACATTTGGGAGGTTGGAGGGCGCCACAGGTATGCCCTATTTCATTTCTTTCCTTCTATTGTTTCTTTCTGTTTTGATTATCCCCTGCCCTACTTCACTTTTACTGCATCGATGTGCTTCTCATTACTCAAACTCGGAAAGACTCAGGAGACAAACACTGACTTCGCAGTTCTTCCTCTCAGGTGTCCGACCCTGTTTTGTACCACAAGATCTGCGCTTGCGTGAGAACGGCAAAAGGAAGTGACTTTAGTGAGACCAAGCTTCGAGAGTTCTGCGAGACGCTCTTTGTGGAAAGTACATCGAACTCCATCACGCCCATGCCGGAGTATTTCATGGTTAGTACATCAATACCTTAGAACTATTAAGTCCTATCTGACATTTTTAAAACCATTTTGAGTTACCAAAATTTGAATTCAGAAAACAAATGTTCTATCTGTTCTATCAAAATCAGCATGAGGACTGATTGTCTTAAGATTCCAAAGTAGATGCAAAGAATCTTTTTACTTTAGTGTGACATGAACTAAACGCGGCCATTATAGGTTTTATAAAGGGAAACGTGCGTCATCGACAGACACATTTTATTTCACCCACATGTATACAATGAAGTCTTTTTTTGTTCACCGAAGACTGTGCTTCCCTGGTGTGAACAATACGCGAAGACAAAATTTAAAAAAAACCCATTGAAAAGATTAGTGGACACGCGCTTATAAATCTAATAAAAAGAGTTTATAGAAAAATCATCATTTGTTCAATCCTAAGCTTCTCGATTTGTCGTTGAACTCAAGAATTAGCTGTATTAGATTTCGACCAACATCTGTGGTGTAGCGGTTGCTTCTACGTCGCACGCACATGACCTGAATTTACTTCCTGAATATCTTCATCTTTCTGCTGAGGTGTTGGGACCCACTCAGTAAGGGCTATTATGTCGATTGGGACATAAAACCCCTAAATCGAACATACATTTTATTCAATTTTCCCTTTAGATACTTTAAGCAGTTCCCACTTTACTACAAACCAAAGACCGCAAGTTTTATTTTGAGGTTATCGCCCTCTTATGACATGCTTTGAACCCTTGACCTCATGGAAAGTCAATTTAAAATAAGGCGTTATGGCAAAAGAAAAATGTATACTTTTAGTACTTTGATCCAAAAAGATCTGGAAAGGAAGGCCTTGGTACATTTGAGTTTAAATCGAAAGTTAACTTATGATATAATCTGATATTTCATAGCAAAAATAGAATTAATAAATAAATAGATAAAACTACATCAGGAGCAAAATACTGAAAGGAAGCTATAATGTAAAACGTAACTAGAGTATTTAACAGAAAATATTTGTTCTTTGAACAGTGATCTTGAAGGTAGTGCCGCTGTCCCCTCCCTTCTTCAATCACTGTTGAAAAAGAAAAGAATGTTTTATTTTCTATTGATAAATTATTTTTAATGTGAGAAACACCAGCAGGAAAAGGTCATTGAATGGGTTGGATGAAAACTCAAAATTAACTTTTAAAAATTGTTATTTTAACATAATATAAAACACAAGCTTTCCTTCTTTAAAAAAATGCTATTTTCTTTTGACTTGTATATAATATACATATTATATATAACATATATATAACATAATATAATATATATATATATATATATGTATATATAATATAATATATTTTTGTATGTTTGTATCATTGACCTCTGCATTTCAGATTATGACTGAGTTTCCACGATCTCTCAACGGAAAGATCAACAAGAGAGAACTGAGAAGACAAGCGGAGGAGAAATTTTGCCCATCAATGAATGTCATTGAAGATTGAGTTGTGAAGGACTCCGATGAGAAAGTTTAAATGAGGCGTGTCAAACTCAATCGCTCATGGGGCCAAACTCAAATTACACTCAAATTTTCGGGTCGAAATGGACAAAATATTCATTGAGCCGTGGAAAACGTAACCCTTTTAAAAAAATAAATAATAATGATATGAGTAAAAAAAACCCCAAAGTTAAGATAGCAACAGTCTCTAATAAAAAATACACTTTTTTGCCCTAATGCTAACTGGTTGGATCTGGATGTAAGGCATTTTTTCTTAGCACCATTTTCTGTATTATGGGGGTTCTCTAGTAGTACACCATATAATAACGCCTTGTTTGATATCATTTGCGCCGTATTATAATTTATTTTTGTGTCTTGACTCCAACACTTAAAACGAGGACAGCAGCACAGTTGTCGGGGTCAATGTTCCACAGTTCTGTATGTCTAAACATACTGATTTAGAATGACCTCTTTCTGGAAGGTACACATATTATTACGTGAAGGAATACCACGATATGCCTCTGATCAGCATGCAGAGTCCTGTAGTTAAATTATATTTTGCTTCTCAGCTGAGATTTATGCAATGTCATTCGGTTTCCTGATGATTTTGGAAATTTTTTTTGTGAATATAAAAAAAAATGTTTGAAACAACACATGTTTAAAACAGGTAACCCCTCCTCCCTTCAGATCCTTTCTCCGTGATAGTCGAACTCCTTCAACACACGCCCAGTTTCTTAATATTGTGTCACATTCAGTGTAGTCATGTTGATAGAACCATATCAGGCAGGAATTAACAAATATCGTACATAAAACGAAGATATCGTTATCAGATTGTTGGTTTCTGTGTGGAAAATAGGTTATGCAGCTTATGTTCAGACTGAATGTGAACACAAGAAATGAAAGGTGGTTTCCATGTGATTTAATGATGTAATTCATGTTATATTCCATCACTTATAAAATACATTAACTTAGGTATTCACGTACTTTAGAGTTGACATTTTGTTATGTTATGCAATATGAAACCATATATTCCTGACGAAACAAATAAATTATAATGTAAAAGTGTGTTGAACTGTTAACTATCTATTATGTATCCCCTTGTTGTGTTGGCTTAGTATTCTGCTATTTGTCTGTGTTCTCACAAGAGTACGTATTATGGATATCGATGGCTTAAGTAATAACTTTCGATTGCCCCTTACGTTCGCTCTCTCTCTCTCTCTCTCTCTCTCACTCTCTATGTCTCTGTCTGTCTGTCTGACTGTGTGTCTTCCCTTGTCTTTCCTTCGGTCTGTTTATCTGTCTGCCTGTCTATCTCTATCTCATCTTTCTATCTCTCTCTCTCTCATCTCACTATCTCTCTCTGCCTCTTCTCTTCGTCTGTCTCTTTCTCTAAATGTTGAACAATTACAGCAGTATCGTATCGTAGAGAAATATTTCTATTCTGGCAATCCTCCCAAGAATTTGAGAACCATGCAGGTGTTCTATGACTATTTAGGCACTGCGAACTCAAATCTCAATCTTTTTCTTTTGTTTTGAAGCTAGATCTATATGCTATTTTACACGAGCGTAATATAAGGTCAGAAAGAAACTGATCTTGGTTTTAAAATAAATATAATTTTGAAAGATGAAAGAAAGATTCCAAATACCAAAGTAAACAGCAGGTGAACATCTTTTTAAACAAAAAAAATAACGTAATAAATTAAGATGTTCATGTGCAATATTGAACTTCTACAAGAGCGACAACTCAAAAAGACACCCTATGCCTCAGTTAATCAAAACCAACCCCTGAAACTCAAAATCTAAAGTAAACTACAACAATACACAAACAGGACAAACACATAAGAACAAACACTAAAGAACAAACACTAAAGAACAAACACTAAAGAACAAACACTAAAGAACAAACACTAAAGAACAAACACCAAAGAACAAACACTAAAGAACAAACACTAAAGAACAAACACTAAAGAACAAACACTAAAGAACAAACACCAAAGAACAAACACTAAAGAACAAACACTAAAGAACAAACACTAAAGAACAAACACTAAAGAACAAACACTAAAGAACAAACACTAAAGAACAAACAAAGCTACGCAGAAATATAACAGCAAGCAACAAATGACACAAACATCCGCAGAAGTCGACGGACTAAACAGAGAAATAAAAGCAAGCAAGAGCTCAGCTAGGTAGGATATTTGGCCTTCATAGCAATTTCCAATCTGAAAACATGCTGGAAGTCCAAGGAGTCACATCTGGTGCATGATCTTCTGAAACGCATCCGGTCAGTGGTCAAGAGAAGTGTTCATTCAGTTTTTCGAAGACATAATACCCCCCACCCCACCTCGCTAACGTCCCCCCTTTCTTCCAGTAGACCATCTATCTTTTCCTCGGATGATAAAGAAACGTACGATTAACGAAAGCAGAAATCAAACGCCCCCACTCAACCCCCTCCCCCCACAAATCCTTTTTTAACCCCGCCCTAGCTTAACCCTTACCACTAAGAACATCAACAAATTTTATTTTTGAAAATAATGTTATCTTATCAAT